GCGACAGCGAGGGATTATTTATAAGGGAAAGGACCGGAGGAGGAGGAGGAGGAGGAGGAGGAGGAGGAGGAAAAGGAGGGAAAGGGAGAAAAGGAGGAAAAGGAGGAGGAAAACACGACTCTCGAGCGACCTCCCCCGGCCCTCTGAGATGCTTCCCGGCAGGCCTCCCTTGCAGGTCCCCCCGGCGGTCTGATGCAGGTCCCCCGTCGGAGGCCTCCGAGGAGGCCCCCCAGAGGCCTTTTAGCAGGAGATCTCTCCGCGAGGGGGCGGGCGGGCGGGAGAGGCCTCCCACGCAGGGACCCCTCTGGCCCTCCAGGGGGTCTCGGGGGGCCTGGGGGGGGCCAACCCGTAGGAAGACACATCTACACATCGATGTTGGTTGCTTCTTTCCCCAGCGGCAGCTGCATTTGGAAGGACCGCGCGGTATCTAAAATTCCTCTACGAAGCATATGTGCTTTACAACGATATCATAAAGACAACTATGTAAGAATATATGTTTACATATATATATATATATATATATATATCAAACATACATGCGCTTAGATACGACTTCTTATTGTCTAGATACGGGAGGTACGTTGTTCTTCAAATGTTTTATATACGGGGTCATGGTTTAGATACGTGTAGATATGTTTATATATATAGATATGTTAGAAACGCTTCAATATAGCGCCCATCGCTGCAAATCATGTCTACAAAAAGTAGGTACGAATAGCTGCGGCGCCATGTCTCCACTGCCGGGCCTTGGCCGCTCAATGACCACGAGCAGGGAAGACTACACATGCCAGTCAGGACGACGATGATCATGAAGAGGAAGAGGAGAAGGAGGAGGAGGAAGAAGTGAAGTGGGACATCATGGACGGCGGGCGAGCCGAACGATCATGAGGACGAGGACAAAGCAACATATCCATGTTCTCCAATCGCTGATCGACTTAATCCCCGTCCTGACTCCCCCCTTCTCCACGTTATCCTTCTGACGCTCCCTCTAAATCCACCTCGCTCCTCTTGCCTGCTCGCCGCGCGTCCTCATCCTCCCCTTCGTCCGCGCTCATCGTCCGAATCACTCCTCCTCCTCCTCCTCCTCCTCCTCCTCCTCCTCCTCCTCCTCCTTCCCCTCCTCTTCCTCCCTCTCTTCGTCCTCCTCCTCCTCCTCCTCCTCCTCCTCCTCCTCCTCCTCCTCCTCTTTGTTCTCCCCATCCTACGGTACCCTGTTCCGACCAGTTCTCTTCTAAATTTCGTTTCGTCGTTGTTTCCCATCCTACTCCTCGTCGTTTTTGTCGTCGTCGCTCGTCTCTTCTCTCTTCTTCGATACGGTTTTCCACTATCCCCATCCCGTTGTTCATTGCTTCGGCCAATCTCACAGATCTTGTTCGTGCCGAGAGCACGGCCAACAGCATTCGTTCTGGCAATAACTAGATACGAATAGATACAGCGCGGCGCTGTCATTCTTTGAAAATAGATACGGCTTGGTTTATTCTGGAAGCAAAATAGATACGGTCCCGAACGTTCAGATATGCGTGAAAAGTAGATACGTTTAGATACGGTGGCGCTCCCGCGCAGGCCGGGGGTGTGCATCTAAAAGTATTATTTGTATTGACTTCGTTGCAGAACAATAGATGCGATGGACTTCTCGCCTGAGCCTGGGCGCTATCACGAGTGAACGCAAGTATTATTTGTTGATACGTCTTGCAGGGCTGGAGGCCTCGGGGAGGCCTCCGACCGCCTAGCTCCCGGAGGCTCAAGGTGGGCCGTCAACTGGGGGTCGATCCCAGATTTTTCGCTTTGCGGAAAAAATGCGACGGGAGGTTTTCGTTATGTTCGTCCTCCGGGGGCCTTTCTAGGGCCTCGCGGGGCTGTCATACAAAAAAAAACACTCTGGATGAAAAGCCGACTCCCTTGGAAGGGGTCCGGACTTTTGGGTGCGACAGCGCCCTTTTGGAAGACTTGCAACGCCACGGGGGCGTTCGGTGGAGCTCCCTGTGGGGCCACGAAGCGTGTGAGGGGTGTGGCGACATGGGAAGGGGGAGGTGGGAGGAGGGTGAGGAGGAGAGGAGGAGGGGAACGCGGTGCGCTATCTCTTCAAGACAAGGGCCCAGCACCACAGGATGGTTGCGAAAAAGTTGCAACGCCACGATCTCAGGGTAGTCATCGCTGACTCCCCCTCGGTGGCGCGCTCCCCTGCCCCTGCCGTTCCAGAGAGCTCCTCGCTACGGAAGTCCGGATTCCGAGGGGCCTCCTCTTGAAGACCAGAGGGGGTCTCCTCGGAGACTTCCCAGGAGGACCAGAGGGGGGCCTCCCCTTGGGCGTCGCGCAGCGGGAGGGCGATGAAAGGGGGGGGGCCGAGAGGGCTCCAGAAAAAGGACCCTGAGGGCCCCCGAAAGAGGCCTTTGGGACCCCAGAGGGGGCCTGCAGGGCCCGAGAGGTGTGCCGGGGGGGTCCCGCGAAGACCTCCTGGAGAACCGGCTGGAGGACCCAAAGCTCCTTTTTTTTTGTTGAAGCAAAAATTTGGCAAGCTTGCTTGCATGGCGTTCGCCCGCCCCTCCCCCCCTCGCCCCTCACCAAACGAACGCTGGCGTGCAGGTGCTTCTCGACTTGCGTGATTCCTGCACGTGCAAGTCGCTTGCGGTTTGCTTCAGGTTCAGGCCCCCCCCCGCCCATACTGGCAAATTTGCCGGAGTCAGAAAACACAGACTCAGTGACCTTGGTCAGTAGATCCCCGATCCCGGAGGTATCCCCTGGCCCTCCAGGAGGTCTGCGGGGGAAGAACCAGAGGATATTTCCGAGAGGCCTTCCGGATCCTTGGGCGGAGGCTCCCTTCGGGAGGTCGGGTGGAGGACCATGGGGAGGTCTCGGGAGGCCTTCCTTCGTTGGGAGGAGGCCTCCAGAGAGATCTGGTGGACGACCAGGTGGTTCGCTTTTTTGGCCTCCTCGGAGGCCGTCGTCGCCACGGCTGGATTCGCCTCGAGATTCTGGCCAGAGCGCACCCCGGCAGAGGTCCGGACACGGCCTCGTGCGTTCCGACCTGGATCTCGAGGCGAATCCAGCCGCCGTGACGAGGGTTTCCGAGGAGGCCTCAAAAGACGAAGACGGGGCAAGGGCAGCGGCATCTCGGGGCACCGGAACCCGACACCGACACCTTAAGATCCCCTCTGGAGAAGGCAAAGTTCAGAGCCTCTGTTGGATGCCGTCGCCCGTGTCTTCGGGCTCACGTGTGTCCCGCGTCGATGAGTGTCAGCCCTGCGCGCGTGGGGGGGCAGCGCGGGCTTTTTTCTTATTCTTCCAGTGAACGTCCTGGGATTTCCATTGGCCGCGCGTGGCCCCGCGGACCGCGCGAACGTCGCCAGCCCCATGGACCCCACACGTCCCAGAAAGGTGTCCTGGGCCACAGGGGCGCCGCAACGCACGTGGGCCCAATGCGCCGCGCGAGCCCGGCGAGCCGCGCGGTCCCCAGGGCCGCGTCGGGTTTCTGGGCCTCGCGAGCCCCGCGGGCCATGGCAGCCCCGCGGGCCCTGCGGGCGCCATGAGCCCCATGCATAGGGCGTGATTTTCCCATGCGAGCCCGGTGGCGTGTGAAGTCGGCGACCGACGCGAGCCACCTCAGGCTCTGCGGGCTCCGCCGGGCCGCTCTGCCCCCGCAGGGACAGGAGCCCCCACCTTCCCAGGTGGGGCCTGGGTGCCGGCGCCGGCCTGTCGCCCCCGGCAGCGCCGGCAAAAACCGGCACCATAGCACCTCGAGGCCCCCGCTGGAGCGGCGCGGGCGGAGCGCGGAGCCCCTCGACGACTTCTCGGCCACGCGCAGAGGGGGGAGGGGGGAGGGGGGAGGGCTTCTCAGGAGCACCCCTGCTTCTTAGAAGGCGCGGCGGGCCTCATCTATAGATGTATAAGGCCGGCGCCTTCGAAGAAGCAGCCTGCTTCTAAGAAAAGAAGGCCTCCCCCCTCCCCCCGCCCCCCTGTGCGCGCCGCCAAGACTTCGGAGGCTGGGCAGGGCCTGCGGGCCGGGGTTCTATTCAAAGGGCGCCGCGCCCTCCCCGGGCCCCGCCCGCGCAGGGGCAGCCACGGCCCCCCCCGCGGCGCGGGGGGGGAAAAGCTGGAAGCGGAGTCGTCGGGTGCGGGCCTCGGGCTGGCAGGGTGTCAGGGGTGCGGCCGGGGGCGGGCAGGGGGGGCGGGCGGGAGGGAGGGGGAAGAGACAGGGAGGGGGCCAACCCAGACCCCCTCAAGTAATGAAAAAATCATGACGGGAGGTTTTTCCTACTTTTCGGCCTCCGGGGGCTCTCACCGGGCCTCGGGGGCGTCATAACGACTCAGGATGCAAAGCCGGTCATGGGGAAAGGGTCGGGACCTCTGGGGGTCGACGTAATGAAAAAATCATTACATCGGGGGTCTGGGAAGCGGGCGGGGGGAGGCGCGGAGGACGGCGGCGGTGGAGCGGGAGGCGTCGGGTCACGGAGGAGGCCGCACCCTTCCCTCTGGCCCCCCCCCCCCTCTCTCGAGAACAAGGAGGGGGAAAGAGACAAGGGAGGGGACCAAGCGGGCGGGGGGGGGGCGCGGATGACGGCGGCGGTGGGAGTGGGAGGCGTCGGGTCACGGAGGAGGCCGCACCCTTCCCTCTGGCCCCCCCCCCTCTCTCGAGAACAGGGAGGGGGAAGGAGACAAGGGAGGGGGCCAAGTGGGCGGGGGGGGGCGCGGAGGACGGCGGCGGTGGGAGTGGGAGGCGTCGGGTCACGGAGGAAGCCGCACCCTTCCCTCTGGCCCCCCCCCCTCTCGAGAGCGCCCGCCAACGTCGCCTCTCGTCTGCCTTTGTTGCTTCCTGCCCTCCCTCCTGCGTGCTGCGCGATGCTTCCCTTCCCCCCCCCCCACCCCTCCTGCGATTCCGAAGGCCAGGGCAGGCTCGCGCCGACCCAAAACGCAAGCCCAACGTTTACAAAACAAGTATGGTCCGGTGCCGGTGTCGGCTTTCTGTCCTCCCCGCATATCGGTTTCTCTCTCGGCTTCCCCAGGAGCGGCTCGGGCGGTTGGACGCGCGGGTGAGCCGCCTGGAGGCGCACGTGGACACCCTGCTGGGCTCCGTGCTGCAGGAGCGCGGGCAGAGCCGGCGGCTGCTGGAAGAGGCGGGCGATTCGGCGCGGCAGCTGCAGGCCCTGCTCTCCGAGCGGACGGCCGAGCTGGAGTCGGCGAGGGTGTCCCTGAGGCTCTGGTCAGGAAGGGAAACACACACACAGACACAATTCATTGGTCGATCCCCGGGAAAATATGAGAGCATATGGGAAGTGGGGGGGAAGACGGAAATCCAGAAGATATTTGAAAATGTCAGGAGTCTGGGTAATTATGGGTGTGTATTTACTTGTGTGCCCGTGGGCCCCTTCATCTAGGCCTCCCAGATGGGGTCCGAGCAGGTCGGGTCAGAGGGTCGCGCCGTGTCGCCGATGCATGGGCGATGCGGCTCGATGTGGAGCCCGGTGTCCTCCACGCCGACGGCGCCGATGCATCGCCGGCCTCGCCGATGCACGGCGATGGCCATCTTCCGACCCCATCTGCTCGGATCCCACCCAGGAGGCCTCTCAAGGCAGGAGGCGGAGAGCCAGCGGCTGCTGCAGGAGACGCTCGAGGAGCAGATTAAGAAGAAGAAGGGGGCAGCTGTCTTCCAGGAGCAGGACTTGGAGGGTCAAGAAGGCATACCACGAACCTCTCTCTGAGTGCGTCTTGACCAGAGTTTCGAGGCGCAGCCAGCCATAATGACGAGGACTCTCGGGGACGAGCAGCTGTGATTAGTCAAGTGATTCACGCCATTCCGCCGATCCCCAGAAGTAGCGAGTGCTTGCGACGATCGTGGAACTTATCTAGTGGGTCAGGAGCTTCTTGGATGCATTTGAGGGGCTCGTGGGATGCCTCGCGGGGGCCTCTTGCAGGTCTCTTGGGGGCTTCTGGGGTGGCCTTTTGGCCAGTCTTGGGGGCCTCCCGGGGGCTCATTCGGGGCCCCTTGGGAGCCTCTTGGCTTCGGGGGCGCCTCGGGGGCGTCGGGGTGCTCTTTGGTCTTCTTGGGCCCCTGTTAGGACACTCTTGGGGCTCTCTTGGGCCGTTTGGGGGGCCCCTGTGGCCGTCTTGGGGCCTTGTTGGGGCGACCTTGGGGACCCCTCGGCATTCTTGGACGCTGTCAAGACAAAAAAGGCGAGCATGCTCAAAATGCACGTTTTTTTTTTCTGAGAGGATGTATGATTTTTGCATCTTGGGGCCCTCTGAAACGCACTCTGGGAGCATTCTTGGGACGTCTTGGACGTGGGTGGGCCGTCTCGAGGCCATCTTGGACCGTCTTGAGGCGACCCTGAGCTGTCTCGACACTCTCTTGGACTTTGTTGGCGCTCTGTTTGGGCTCCCTTGTGCCATCTTGGGGTTTATTGGAGGCTCCGGAAGCTTGGGGGCTGCGTTGGCCCCCGGCCGCCCGCCCCGTCCCCCCCCCCCTCTCTAGTCCGACTTTGGGCCCCTGGGTAAGGGGAGCGAGGGAGGGGGACAGCCAAATGTCTCACGCGCATTTTGACCCCGAGCAAGCGGGGGTCGAAGGATTTCGGTATACAGTGGGGGCCCATGCCAATAAACACCCTGCTTGCCTCCAGGGTGCGCTGGGTTTCTTGGGTTCCGATGGCTTCGCTATATAGGGAGCGTGACGCTCCCACGCCAAAAATCCATGGACGTCTTGGGGTCTCAGGGTTGGGTCTCTTGTGGAAGGTTTCCGGTGGACTGGCCTTCAGTCTGGCGTGTGTATTCGAAAATCTGTCAAAAAATAGTTTAGGGGACGATTTTTTTACAAGAGAGGAATACAGAAATAAATCAATACATACATACATGTTGTTAAAAACTAGTTTAGACTATTTTGCAATATGTCTTGTCTACTGTCCATTCTTCGCCCAGAATCTGCCTGTAGGGGGACATGCCCGACCTAAGACTGGCCTCCACCTTATGCTCCTCCTCCCAGGAGTCGCCCACGGCGACCAGCCGCCACCAGGCCCTCCTCCTCTCGGAGGAGCGGAGCCGAAGGCGCTCGGCGCACGGGGCGTCCGTGGAGGCGCCGCCGCGGCGCTGGCCGTACCCGAAGTCGGCGGTGTCGTCGTCGTCGCCCTCGCTCCGCGCCGGCGGCGGCGGGTGCCGCGGCGAGTCCCCCTGCGCTTCACCGTGGCCCAGGTGTGCCTCGCTGGAGGATTTCGGAGGGGGGAAAGGTGCCCATACCTCTACCCTCCCCTCGTTTTCCCCTTTCTGGGCCTCCTGTCCTGGGAGGCCCTCGTCGCCACCGCTGGATTTGCCTCGAAATGATGACCAGAACGCACCCTGGGAGAGGTCTGGGGAGTAGCGGTATCGGTACCTTTTGGTTTCCCCAGGACTTCTGGTGTTGCCTCAGGGGTCGCCAGAACTCCAGGCCTCCCAAGTGGGGTTCGAGCGGGTGGGGTGTCGGAGGATCGCGCTGCATCGCCGGTGCATGGGCGATGCGGCTCGATGTGGAGCCCGACGTTCTCCACGCCGACGGCGGCGATGCGTCGCCGATGCATCGGCTATTCGGGGCGATCCTCCGAAGCCATCTGCTCGGACACCATTCGGGAGGCCTCTACGCGCGGTGCAGTGACCACACCGTGCGGTGAGTCACTGGGGATTCGCGGTGACTGCACGGATGTGGGGCTTGGCCCGTGTGTCGAGGATGCCTCGGGCGGCTGGGGGCTCCGAGGTCCCAGCACTGTGCGGCGGCGGGCCGTGCAGCGAGGCTTCTGGGGATTCCGACTGGCGATTCCGAGGTCAGCGCACGGTCCGCCACCGCACCGTTTGGGGCAGGGCTGGACAGAAACGCTGTTTTGCTGGACTTCGGCTGCGTTTTGTCTCTCGTCTCGGCAGGGAGGTGCAGGAAGACGGGCAGAGCAAGCCAGAACAACCAAAACGAATACAAAACGAGAAGCAACGTTCAGGTCCAGCCCTGGTTTGGGGAGGGACGCCCCCGTGTCGGAAGCCAGGCAAGGGCTGCTAAATCCGCGGCTGCTAAAAGCGACCTCCAGGAAGTTGTCTTCGTCCTTCCGGGAAGAAGCCCGTTGATTGCTTCGCGTGCCGCGCCTCATTCCGGGAAGCTGTTTTTCCCTTCCGGGAGTTACCAGCCTCGAAGTGATCCCTACCCCTAAGATTGACACGCCAAAAGGCGATGACAGTTTTAGGGATGCGCCCTCAAAACATAAGGGAATCCCTAAGGTTGGCATCGTGATGAGGCGATGCCCGGCATAGGGATAGGGATCTGTTCCAGGCTGGTACGGGAGGGCCGTTTCGCAGCCACGGCCTCAGCAGCCCTCGCCCAGCTTTCGGCCGTGGCGAGGGGCGGCGCCCTGGCCCAGCAGGGAGGCCCGAGCAGGGAGGCCCCGGCAGCCCATCCCGAGCGCCCGTGTCGCGAGACCCCAGGGGGGGGGGGTAGGGGAACAAAAAGTGGCATAAACATAGAACTCGGAGGTCCGCGCGGATTTCTCGGAGCGGCGCTGGGGCCCCCCGGCGGCGCCTCCGGCGCCGCCCCCTGGCGCGCTCCGCGCGCCAGGGAGGGGGGTCCAGCGCCGATCCGAGAAATCTGCGTGGACCTCCGAGTTTTTCTGTTTATGCCACTTTTTGTTTCCCTAGCAGAATCCAACAAATCGCACCCGTATGTAATATTTGTCCCTATGTGTGAAAACTCCTTCTGTGGAGGGACGCGCCCGACTTCATTCTGGGGTCGAATTGCCCCCCTGCGAAACTCGCAGAGATCTTTGGTGAGCATTCGCGATACATGCTTCGTAAGACAATTGTTTCGTGGTGTTTCGTTCGCGAGGATGCCTTTTTGTATCAGCTTATCCTGAATAAGTCTCCTTTTTGTTGGGATCACCCGCCTTTCAGGCCAGCCGCCACCACCACCACCACATGTGGTGGGGGTCCTTGATTGGGATGCCTTCAGCAAGAATTCGTTAGGAAGGACCCTTTAATGAGGAGTCCTTCGTATGGATCCTGTCAATAAGGAATGCTTCGTGAGGATGCCTTTAGTAAGGATCTCCTCGCTAGGGGTCCCTGTAACAAGGATTCATCGCGCAAGCTTCCTTGAATAACGGGCCCCTTGGTACGAATGCCTTTGGTAATGGACCCTTGGTAATCATGTTTGTCGTAAGGCCCCCTTTTCGAGAGGATTCCTTTAGCGAGTGTTCTCTCGGTAAGGACTCCTGTAATTATGAACCCTTCCAACTACTGGCTCCAGTACTGGCTCCTTGAAAAGTATGCATATTCCTGGGCAAGGGTGCATTTACTCAGGGATCCTGAGTACGGATGCTTTTGGTGAGCTTTCCTTAGTGTTAAGTCGGGCCTGTCCCCCTACAGGGGGATTTTCGGCGAAAAAATACCCCACAAATGCACCAAAAAGGTCAAACCATATTACAAAATTTGTCCCCGGACTATGTTTGGACTATTGTTTGATTATTGTTGAGGTACTTTTATTTGTCGTCGAAAATCCCCCTGTAGGGGGACAGGCCCGACTTAACCTTAGTGGGGATGCCTCTGATGAGGGTCCCCGCAGTAAGGGCCCCCGTGTGGTAAGGACTGATGTGTAATCATTCCTTTCGAGAAGGGTTCTTACGACGGATGCCGAACGCGATAAGGATGCCTTTAGTACGGATCCCTTCGGCAAGGATCCTTGCAGTGGGGATTCATTGTGCATGCGTGCTTTACAGGTCCCATGGTAAGAATGCCTGTAGTAAGGTATCTTTAGTGAAAATGCATTTTTCTGCAGGGCCTTTTTTGGGAGGAGCCCTTTCGTGCGTGTCCTCTCGGTAAGGGCCCGTGTAAAGATAATTCCTAGTTGGTATTATGTTTCAGCGTTCTTGAGCAAGGAGATCTTATCAATGGATCCTTAGTGTGGATGCTTTTAGTGAGGCCTCCCCAGTGGGGATGCTTTGAGTAAGGACCCCCTCAGTAAGGACCCCCTTGTAACAAGAACTCATTGTCATGTGTAGCACGTCATTTAGAAAGGGTTTCTCACGATGTATTGGTTCTTTAAAGAGACTTTGAGTACGGTGAGGATGCCCTCAGTACGTGCTCCTCAGTAAGGATCCTTGCAACGAGGATTCATTGTTCATGCGTTCTTTAGTAATGATGCAGTTAGTGCAGGATCCCTAGCACGAGTTGCGCCAGTAAGGTCCCCATGAGGGAGGATTGCTTTAGTGAGCGTCCTTTCGGTCAGGATTCCTGTAGTACTATTCGTTTACTACGTGCAGTGGATTAGTGTTGGTTCTGTAATTTTCACTACCAACTCATATCGGGCAGGCTGGGTCCAACGTCTTGTTCTCAATCTCGTTGCATCCGTAGCCGCGTTGGCTCCAGTGGCGCGCTCTCAATGCGCGCCATGGCGTGGGCGGTTTCCGGCTGTTGACCGACGACTGAAACCACGACGACCGACCGACGACCGGACCGAACGACCGACCGACCGACCGAAACGACGACGATCGACGACGACCGATTGACCGATCGACCGACCGAGACGACGACGACCGATGACGACCGACGGACCCGCCGACCGAATGACCGAGACGACGACCACCGACGACGACGACCGACGGACCGACTGACCGACAGACGAGCACGCGGATTGACCCAGTGTGAGAGCGATGCGTCTATACAATGCTAGGACCTCCGCCCCTGGCCCGTTAGCCCCCTTTATCCCCCCCGACTTGTTCATATTTTTGGAAGCCCCACATAAACCAGTTGAGGTTCCAGCCTTCGAATTCTACGTAAATGCTTCAGCCGCCTACGCCTACCAGAAAGGGTGGTTTCATCCGTCAGCTTCTACGAAGGAAAATCTTCCAGCTGCCCACGGATGAGGTTCTAGCCTTGCAGTTCTTGCGAGGGAAAATGTTCCAGCCGCTGGTGCCGACAAGAAGGGGTGGCTCCAGCTTTCACTTTTTGCGAGGGAAGGTGTTCCAGTCGCCCACGGCGCCGGCTCCAGCCATGCACTTTTACAAAGCGCGAGCGTTCCAGCCGCACGCGGCGCAGGTTCCAACCGCACATGTTTACCCAGGGCCGCACCAGCAACAAATTCTCCAGCCGCCCACGGGTGATGCTCCAGCCTTCAATTTCTAGGAGGGAGCTTGTTCCAGCCGCCTGCGCCGACAAGAAGGGGTGGTTCCAGCCGCCAGCGTTTTCCCCCAAAAACGGCTCCAGCCGCCCACGTGTGAGGTTCCAGCCCCCAGTTGTTACGAGAGAAAGTGCTCCAACCATTTATGCCGACAAGAAAGGGGTGGTTCCAGCCCTCAGTCTTAAGGGAGGGAAAGTGTTCCAGCCGCCCACGGTGTCGGTTCCAGCTTTCACTTCGTACCCAGGCGAGTGTTCCAGTTGCCGACTGCGTGGGTTCCAGCTCGGCGAGAGCGCTACAGCCGCCCAGGGCGTGGGTTCCACATGTGTATTCTTACCCAGATCACACGTTTCAGCCGCACGCGGCGCATGTTCCAGCCGTGCGCTTCCACCGAGCGCGATCCAGCCGCGCGCGGAACGGGCTCCAGCCATGCCTTTTTCGGGGCGCGATCGCTCCAGCCGCGCACGGCGTGGGCCGCAGCCATGCATGTTTTCCCAGCGCGAACGTTTCCAGCCGCACCAGCCACTGCTTCTCACGACGGAAAATGGTCAAGCCGCATCGCCCGATAAGAATTGGTGGCTTCAGCCTTCAGTTTGCACGAGAAGAAGTATTCAGGCCGCCCACGGGTGAGGTTCAAGCTTTCAATTTTCGCCAGGGAAGGTGCTCCAACCGCCTATGCTGACAAGGAGGGGTTGGCTCCGGCCTTCAATTTCTATGGCGGGAAGTGTTCCAGCCGCCCACGGCGTTGGTTCAAGCCGCGCATTTTTACCCAGCGCGAGTGTTCCAGCCGCCGACGGCGCGGGTCCAGCCCAGCGAGAGCGTTCCAACCGCCCGCGGCGCGGGCTCCAGCCATGTATTTCTACCCAGCGCGAGCGTCCCAGCCGAGCGCGGCGCGGGTGCCAGCCACGTCCTTTTTCCGGGCGCGAGCGTTCCAGCCGCACGCGGCGCGGGCTCCAACCATGCACTTTCTACGAGCGCGAGCGTTCCAGCCGCGCGCGGCGCAGGTTCCAGCCATGCGCGTTTACCCAGCGCGAGCATTTCCAGCCGCGCCACCCGCCAACTCTTACGATGGGGAAGTCTCACCGACCGCCCATGCCGACCAGACAGGGCGGCTCCAGCCGCCAGCTCGCACGAGGGAGAGCGCTCCGGCCGCCCACGGGTGCAGCTCCAGTTCTTGCTTTCCCATGTTCGCGATGGGCAGTGGTCCAACCGCCCATGCCGGCAAGGGGGGCGCTCCAGGCGTTCCAGCCTTCCACGGCGTCGGTTCCAGCCACGGTTTGTTGCCCCACGCGAGTGCTCCCGCCGCCCACGGCGTGGGTCCCAGCTCAGCGAGAGCGTTTCTGCCGCCCGCGGCATTGGGTGCCAGTCACGCATTGATGCACAGCGCGAGCGTTCCAGCCGAGCGCGGCGTGGGCGCCAGCCTTGCAGTTTTACCGAGCACGAGCGTTCCAGCCGCACGCGGCGTGGGCTCCAGCCATGTATTTGACGGAGAGCGAGCGTTCCAGCCGCACGCGGCGCAGGTTACAGCCATGCTTTGTGACGGAGCGCGAGCGTTGCAGCCGCGCGCGGCGCGGGCCCCAGCTATTGATTTTACCGAGCGCGAGCGTTTCCAACCGCACACGGCGCGGCTTGCAGCCATGCGTTATTACCGAACGGCGAACTTTCATTAGCTAATTGGCCCACTGATTGGCCAGTCAGTTGACTATTGCTGGTAGTGATATTTCAATGCGCATATCATATCGGGAGGATCTGGGTCCAGCGTCTTGTGCTCAACCTGATGACATCCGTAGCCGCGTTGATTCCAGTGGCGCGCTTTCCGAGCGCGCCATGGCGTGGGCCGATTCCGGCTGTGGACCGATCACCAGGACGGCGACTACCGACGACCGACGACCCGACCGACCGACCGACTGAAACGACGATAACCGACGACGACCGACGACAACTGATCGACAAACCGACCGACCGAGGCGACCACCGATGACGACCGTCGGACCGACCGACCGACAGACGAGCCCGCAGACTGACCCAATTTGGGAGCGAGGCGTGGATGCAATGCTAGGACCCCCGCCCCGCATGGCCCATCAGCCCTTCCCCCACCCCCCGACTTGATTATGTTTTTAAAGCCCTGAGTTGGGTGAGGTTCCAGCATGTTCCAGCCTTGAGATTTTACGACAGGGCAGTGTTCCAGCCGCCCATACCGACAAGAAAAGGTGGTTCCAGTTTTCCGCTTGTACAAAGGAAACTGCTCCAGCCGCCCACGGGTGAGACTCCAGCCTTGAATGTTTACGAGGGGAAGTGTTCCAGCCGCCCATGCCGACAAGAAAGGATGGCTCCAGCTTCAATCTTCAAGACGGAAACTGCTCCACCCGCCCACGGCGTCGGCTCCAGCCATGCACTTTTCCTTAGCGCGAGTGTTCCAGCCGCCGACGGCGCGGGTGCCTGCTCAGCGAGAGCGTTTCAGCCGCCCTCGGCGTGGGTTCTAGCCGCGCATTCATACACAGCGCAAGCGTTCCCACCGCACGCGGCGCGGGCTCCATCCATGCACTACTACCGAGCGCGAGCGTTCCAGCCGCACGCGTCGTGGGTTCCAGCCATGCACCTGTACCGAACGCGAGCGTTTCCAGCCGCACACGGTGCGGGTTCAAGCCATGCGCTGCCATGGAGCCCAAGCGCTCCAGCCGCCCACGGCAAATCCCCATCAGCAATTTAGTCCATTGATTGTGGCATTGCCTCCAGTAATGGCTCCTTGAAAAAGGATGCGGCTTCCAGAAAAAAATGGTATCTGATTATTGAATCGCTTCGCTCATTCCGCCGGCCCGTGATATGGCATCGCTGGATTTTGTCTGTGTGTTCGTTGCCCATGTTGCGCTCTTGGGGGCGGGTGTCGTTCGGACGCGTTGCGTGGGGAGTTTTGATGGTGAAGCAGTTCCCTGGGGGTCGTCTCTCGATGGGGCGAAATAGAGTCGTCGTCAAGATGCTTCTTTGGGGGGCCTCTTGGGGTCTGTTGAGAGGCCGTTCGGGGGCGCCTGGGAGACATGTTTGAAGCCTTCTGGGGCTTCTTTTGGGCCTCCTGGGAGTCTCCTGGGGCCTCTTGGCGACATCTTGGGGCCTCTTGGAGGCCTCTTGGGGCCTCTTTGGGACCTCCTGGGCGCCTTCTGGGACGGAGGGCTCCATTTTTGAGTTCTCGGTATCCCTCCTGAGTCCCTCTTGGGCCCGTCTTGGGGCCTCTTGGTCCGTCTTGGGCGGCACTTGGGCCGTCTTGAGGGCTCTCTTGGGTCGTTTCGGCGCCGTCTTGGGAGCTTCGTGGGCCGTCTTGGAGCGGTCTTGGGGGCCTCTTGGGCCGTCTTGGAGCGTCCGGAAGCCGAAAAAGCCAGAACACAAAAAACATCGAAAAAAACAATGAAAATCAACGATTTTGGCCTCTTGGGGCTCTCTTCGGAGGCCTCTTGGAAGGCTCTTGGGGCGTCTTGGAGGCCTCTTGGGCTGTCTTGGGGGCCTTTTGGGCCGTCTTGGGGTCATCTTCGGCGTCTTCGAGCGCTCTTTGGGCGTCTCGGGGGCCTCTTGGGCAGTCTTGGGGGCCTCTTGGGGCACTCTGAGCGCGCTCTGGGGAGCCTGAGAGGCCGCACCCAGAAGGAAAACCATCTCTGAGTAGACTTGGTCGGGCGGCGACCGGGCGTTGGTCGGGGTACTTTTCGCCGGGGGACCCCCAGGGGCCGCCCCGCGCGCGCGAACTAGAAATACTGTTAATACTGTTAACCAGTTACCGGAGATCTTAGCACGCCCTGGCCCGTTGGGCCGGCGAATTAGATCCTTGATACGGGCGTTTTGGTGCGGCTTTCTTAATGGGGATGTTTTGGTTAAGGATCCTCTCAGTAAGGGCCCCCTGTAGCAAGGACTCTGTACTAACACTGTCTTTACTAAGGGTTCCTTACGGCGCGGGTGCCTTCTGTAAGAGGTCCCGAGTCAGGACTAGTGGTAAGGAGCTCTTTCGTTAGAATTTTTGGGTGGTGATGGTGGGGCGAACAAACGAATACAATAGTCAGAATGTGTGACGAACTTCCCCCCCACACACATGGCCACCACCACTGCCACTGGATTGGGATTTCGGGGACGGGCGCGTCTTCGCTGAAGCACAAAGCCTAGGTCGTGGCATGGGTCCAATAGCAAGGGATCTCAAATGAGCGTTCTTGTAGTGAGCGGTGCTGAGTACATTACAGATTTAGTTAGCAAGCCGTCCTTATAAAGGATGTTTTACTATCAAGGCGTCCTCCAAAACGGATCCCTTTTAGTGGGGGATCCTTACGAGGTTGCCTTCACTACGCGTTCGTTAGTAAAGGGGGGCCTTCAGCATAGGATTCTTATCAAAGATGCCTTCAATGAGGAGCTATCTTGAGTAAGTACCCCTTCAGTAAAGATCCCTTTGCTTCCTTTGATAGTGGGTTTGGGTAATGATGCCATTCGCCAAGGATCCTTGGCAGGGCTGCCATGTTTTAGGGACCCTTAGCAGGGATGCTTTTACTAAGGCCTCCTTGGTGATGGTGCCTTGAGCAAGGGCCCCACTCAAGGGCTGTTTGGGAGAGCCTGTGGAAGGGTCTGGCTTTGCACTCAGCTTCCCAGTCGCCGCCGCCGTCGCAGACGTCCTTGGTGGGGGACATTGTTGGGTTTTTTTCTTCCCCCCCCCCCTTCCTCCTTTCCCCAGAACGCCGACGTCGTGAGCGTGCACTGCGCCCAGACGTCTCGGCCCGTTCCCCACGACTGGCCCCCCATCCCCCGAGTGGCCCGTTTTTTGTCGACGCCCAGCGGGCCTGGCAAGGGCCTCCGCGGGCCGTACCTTGCCAGCAGCCTTCCGCCGTGATTCTCTCACGACGCGAGGGGGGTCCACCGGGCGGGGCCAGGATCGCGGACGAATCCGCCTCAGAGCCTTCAGGAGTGCTTTCGGAGCGTTCCAGACCGCTCTGAGAAGGCCACGGTGCCCAACACAGTCTCCAGAGCCGGTGGGTCCCAGAGATCGCCAACTCGTCCTTTGTCCGATGTTGCCCCTGTCCTGGCTGCATCCAGGTCTGGGCCAGGGGGTCAGACGTCAGGCCCTGGTCCCATCCTGGGGCGCCTTCTGGCCAGAACGTCGAGGCGGACCCGGCCTGTGGCGGCCAGGAGTCCGTCCGAAGTTCCCCCCACAGGGAAAAGATATCCAAACGTGTTGGAAATTCGAACCTCGACAACGACGACGACGACGACGCCGCTGACGCGGGCCAGGACGACGACGACGACGAAGACGACGCGAGGCTGTCTGGGCGTTGGCACGTCCAGGCGTCCACCCAGTATTGGACGCCGCTCAGGCGTCCAACCGCCCACCCTGAGATCCGACGTTGCGAACAAAACGCAACAGCGCGCGAACAACCACGACCCGAGCCCTACAGACCCCCCCTTTCAGCTGCATTTTCCGGGCGGGATTCGATCTGCCATGGCCCTGGGACCCGACATTCGGGCGTTGCCAGAAGTGCTCCCTTGGCCCAAGGTGCCCCAAGGTGCCCCAAGTGCACCGCTCACGAGGCCCGTAGGGCCCCAGGGGCTCTAAAATGGAGCGAAAAGCTGGGGCACCTTGGGCCAGGGGCATTTTGAGCAACCCCCCGAGACACTGGGCGGAAACGCCCAGCGTGAAGAACTTCCAACGCCCGACTTCGTACTGGACCCCCGACGCCACGAGTCTTGCACGACGTGACCCCCCCCCAGAAGTGCGGACCCCTTAACCCCGGGAGCGGTGTTTTCTCCTCCTCCATCGCTTCCTGACGCTCCCGAGGCCCAGCTGCGGTCCCTGGAGCCCCCGAAGATGGCAGAAAGCCTCCCGTCGCGATTCTTCCCAGCGATCGGGGGCCTGGGAACGCCCCGCCCCGCCCCGCGAGCCCGAGGAGTGGTGGGCGAGCCCGGGCCGCGGCGCGCGCCCCGGCGCCCTCCCGGCGGCTGCGCAGCCCGCCGCGGCGCCCGAGCGGAGCGGGGCGCGGTCGGGCCCGTGCGGCGCGGCGGCGGCGCCGCCGGCCGCCGCCGCGGCGGCGCCCGGGCGGCTGCTGCTCGCGCGCAGCGCGCCGCCGGGCCGCTGCGAGGCCGTCGCCGAGGACGAGCGTCGCGCGCGCGCTTCCCCCGGGCCCCCCCTCGCGGCATAGGAGAAAGTCGCGACGGGAGGCTTCTCTCGCCGTTCTCGGCCTCGCGGGGGCCCAGACCCGGCCCGCGGGGGCGTCGGCAAGACGACGCAGAAGGAGAAGCGCGGTCCCGGGGAAGGGGTCCAGACCTCCATGCAGGGGCCCACGCCGCGAAGAGGTCACGGCGTCGGGGGTCGGGGAATTCGAGCGCAGCATGATCCCCACGCGGTGTCGTGAGGCTCTCGCTGTCTGCGTCGCTCTCCAGAGGAGGAGGGCAGACCTTAGCTGCCCTGATGCGCCCGTGCTGAAACGCAGCACGTGCCGTGCTCAAAACGTACGTGTTGACACGCTGCGTGTTGGCTCAACGTGTTGGCCCACGTTTTGGCGCACGTACCGCGCCAAACATACGTTTTCAATGTGATCGTTTTCTAATTATATGTGGCCGATCGGCGCGGGACCTCGCACCCCCCCTCCCCCCCATGGAGTGCATCTTGGCTGTTTTGGGGGCTTGGTTTCAGGCAGCTGAAGTCCCCCCCATGGTGGACGAACTGTTCCAAGCAACCGCACGAAGCGGAGGTGTGGAGCCAGACCCCCCCCTCCTCCCCATGTCGAAACGCCGAATAGAAAAAGACGCTCACGATATACTTGTTGAGCTCCGTGTCAACACGCAACGGGTTGCGTGTTGCGTCTCGGGGCGGCCAAGGGAGAGACCGATACCGATGCGATGCCGCTGCTCGTTCTGGGTCCTGAACAGAGTGCCTTTTTTTGTCCCCCTACTATAGGGACCCGGTCCCAAACCAGGGCTGAGGGCTCGCTTCCTCCCCAGACATGGTCGCGTCGTAGAAAGATCAGGACGCGCGGTGTTTCGCTATCTTCGACACGGGGGGGCCCTCGCCGGGCCCCGGGGCCGTCAACAAACGACTCGGGACGAAAAGCTGGTCCTGGGGAAAGGGTCGGGATTTCTGGGGACGCCGTCTTGGAAAAATCAGGACGTCGCATGTCTGGGTCCGGGCCCGCATGCGTCTTTGCTCAGGCCCCTGTGCATACTTCCTTCGCCTGCGGAGCCCTCGGGGAGGGCTTCTCGCCCTCGGCGGCGGGGTCCGCCTGTCGGCGTTCTGGCTTGGACGCGCCCCAGCACTAGCCCGGGGCTCTTGATCCTCGCATGGAAGGCGGAGGAGGAGGAGGAGGAGGAGGAGGAGGAGGAGGAGGAGGAGGAGGAGCACATCCCCTTCTTCGCGCCAGGAGCGAAAGCACAAAACAGGAGGTAACGGTTGTCGTCCGGTCTCGGCGTCATGGGGGCCCTGGCCGGGCTTCAGGGCCGCCGAGAACCCCTTCGAGGTGCTCAGCCGGCCCCGGGGGAGTGGTCGAGCCTTTCGCTGTGAAAGTCCAGCGCCGTCTCGGTGGTATTGTCTGTTCGCTGGGGGGCCGTTGTCGCCACGGTCGGATGCGCTTCGGGATCCTGGCCGGAGCGCCTCCTGGGAGGGGTCCAGCAAACTTGTGGCTCCCCGCAGGACAGCCCTCGCACGGTTCTCGAGACTCCGAGGCAGCACTGCGAGCCCAGGCAGAGCATGTAGCCGCTGCTCGAAAGCAAAAGCATCAAGGTATATCTCTTCGGAGGTCCGGGCGGACTTATTGGGCCAGCGCGGTGGGCCCCCCTGGCGGCGCCTCCAACGCCACCCAGGGCTCGCTTCGCGCGCCAGCTTTGGGGCAACGTACGACGCGAGTACGCCGGAGCTCGGGTTTGCCGACGCCTCTTGACGAGCGCGTCCTGGATTTTGACACTCCAGTTCTCGTGGGATGTCTGCAGCGGAAGTTCTCGTCACATTTCAGATGGGGTCTCGTCATTCTCATGATGGCCCCGTCAGGCCTACCCGAGTCCCCCGAAGCCGAGTCTCATGTCTCCCCGGCAGTCAGAGGGGGGTCCACCGCCGATCCGGTAAATCCATGCGGACCTCCGAGAGTTCCGGCTTGTGCTGCTGCATGTTCTTCGGAGGACAGGCCTCTCACAGTTCCTAAGTCTCCGAGCAGTACTTCGAGCCAAAGGCAGAATGCTTGCAACGGGAGGCGACTGCGTTCATGAGAGCGGATCATGTAAGGCCCAGCACGCATGCAGGAGAGACATTATTGTCTGCGCCCTCACCGACGGGGCAACGCGACTATATCGACGCGCGCTCTCAGCTGGCAGGGGCCTGGCGCATTCCTCGTGGCCCAAGCGGCAGCAATGAAGGACGACGACAAAACGATGGCGGCCATTTCGCGTTCATGCGCGCTGCCGGTTGGCCGCAAAATTGGCACGCGTGCCACGACATCCGCACACGGTGGGGGCGTTCGCTCAGGAGCGTGCCCAGGAGGCTTCAGACCCTGGAGGACTCCTTGTCTGATGAGGGCGGCGGTGGTATCCATGGCCATATCCACGATTGGAGCTCCACTGGCTTCCAGACCCTGGACTCCTCATCGAAGGCTCCTTCATCTCGGGGGTGGACAGAACCCCCACCCTGACCACGTCGATGAGTGAATTGTCCGTTTTCGGTTCTCGCGCGGGCGCCGCGGCCGTCACTTGTCCAGGCCTGCGCCCGCCAGAGCTGGGCCCGAGGTCGCTTCCACCAGCCCGCGTCTTGCCGGAGGGGGCTCCGTCCATCCCCGATCCTCCAGTGCCCCCTCCGTGTCCCCACCACGCGTCCGAGCTCAGCCACAGGCCCACCCGCGCCCTCGCCCCTGGTCCTCCCCGTGCCTCGCCGCCTCGCCGCCCGCGGCGGGCCCTCGGGGTCTCCTTCGTCCTCGCGGCGTGCTCGGCTGCGCTCGCCGGCCCCGAACGGGCACGGGGCGCGCGCGCACGCTTCCGCGGGGGTCGGCCCGCCCAGACCCCCTCGGGCAAGGACGATGGGCTTGGGTCCTCCTCCTCCTCCTCCTCCTCCTCCTCCTCTTCGTCGTCGTCCTCCTCCTCCTCGTCCTCCACCTGCTTCCCCCCTCCAACTTATGGTGGTGGTGGTGGAAAACAGGCTCATCAAACGACAAAAGCATGACGGGCTTTTGTTTCTTTGGTTTTGCTGCTTTTGGCCTCAGGGGGGCCAGTTACCGGCCCTCGGGACCGTCAAACATCGAGATTCGGGACGAAGAGCCGCTCTAGGGGAATGGGCCGAGGCCTCGAGGGGTCGACGTAGTGAGCAGAGATCATGACGTCGGGGGTTTTGGGTGCGTAGCAGATTTCAGGTATCGATCCCGAGTAGTCTCGGGGAAACGTAAGATTCGAGAACGCTGGGACTCGGGTTTGTCGATTTTTTTTGACGAGCGCGTCCTGGATGTTGACGGTCCAGTTCTCGTGGGATGTCTGCAGCGGGAGCTCGCGTCAAATTCCAGATTGGGCTTCGTCATTTTCATGGCTGGCCCCGTCAGACCAACCCGAGTCCCCCGAACCCGAGTCTTACGTCTCCCCGATCGTATCAGCAGCGAAGGGGCGATTCCTAGGGAACGTATCGCAGCACCTGCTCAAAAGTTCTTCGTCCCTGCAGGAATGGGCGATTCGGCAGCGGACCGCCTGTTGTACCCATCCTTCCACTGAGAGACGGCTCCATCTCCAGAGCCCGTCGGACCGTGTGTCTCGGCAGCCCCCCAAGACAGCTTGAGCGAAGGAAGGGCGAAGCGATGGAGCGGATAGCAAATAGCAGGCTGCAGTGAGCGAGGAGCGAGAGGCGGATAGAAGGCTGTTGCTTCCACTCTGTCTTCCGCCAGTTGCTCCTTTGCACCGTCCAGGAAAGCAGGGCTCGACCGTCAAACGGTGTGTTGTTGGCGACGCCGTGGGCCATTTTCGCGTGGGCCTCGCTCGGAGGGACACCACAGCGATAGCGAAACGCACCGTTGAGTTCGAGCGTTGCAGCCGTCCAGGAGAGCAGGGCTCGACCGTTGAACGGTGTGTTGTTGGCGGCGCCGTGGACCTTTTCGTGTGTACCTCGCTCGGAGGGGCACCACAAAGACACCGGAACGCACCGTTGAGGTCGAGTCCCTGCAGGGTAGGGGTCAGGAGGAGAAAACACACACACACAGACACAATCGATCGTCGATCCCCAGGGGAGGTGTGTGGAGGGAAGACGAAATCAATTGGGGGCATCCTGGGATTACGTGTCTGTTTATTTGTGGTTCATTGGGCCCCTGGGAGGGTGGAGGGCGCCCTCCTCGACCTCATCCTTGCACGGGGCCTCCTACGCCGTGGACCTTTTTCTCGTGTGGACCTCGCTCGGAGGGGCACCACAACGACACCGGAACGCACCCGTGAGGTCGAGCCTTGAAGGGGAGGGTGGAGGGCACCCTCCTCGGCCTCCTCCTTGCGCAAGGGCTTCCCACACCGCGGCTCTCCCTCGGTCGTGGGAGAACGAGTTGGAGGAGGAGGAGGAGGAGGAGGAGGAGGAGGAGGAGGAGGAGGAGGAGGAGGAGGAGGAGGAGGAGGAGGAGGAGGAAAGGGGGGAGGAGGAAAGGGGGGAGGAGGAGGAAGGAGGAGGAGGAGGGGGAGGAGGAAGAGGGAGGAGGGAGGAGGGAGGAGGGAGCAGGGAGGAGGGAGAGGGAGGAGCGAGCGAGCGAGCATGCAGCAGTGCAGTCGAAGACGATAGCACAGAGCATAAAAAAGAGAGAGGTGGGCTCGATCAAAAGACCGAGCCCGACGATATGGAGAGCGGAGCCCTGGGCCTTATGGGGTTACAAGGCCAGGGCCACGCAAGCTCAATCAGAGCTGTCAGAGTCCCCACCTCCCGCCTCCACCCCCACCGTCCCCCAAGAGACGCAAGCCGCCTCCTCGAGGCGCAGGGCGGCGGCGACCTGCAGCACCAGGTCGCTCGGGTCGGTTGGAGGGGCGGAGGCTAGCGCCTCGGGGGAAGGGGA